TTGGCTGCAGAAACTCACACCAAGATACAGCACCAAACCTAGGGCACAGAAGGTTGCGATAAGGCGAACCCGCCAGCTTTGAGGGTCCGATCCTCAGAAAGCTCGAATCTCGCCATCTCTTTCTCTTAGACGAAATGAAAAACCTTCTTGGGACCGACAGTCTGACATAAATCAAGCTTTCGAAGCACCTAAAGTGAAGCAACCTAGCTTTCATTAACTCACGTTGAAACCACCTCCTGATGCCATGTTGGACCCCAGTTCTGGCATTAGCCGCCCGTCATTGCTCCCCGTCATTGCTCCCGGCCTTTCGGGCCAAGGTGGATTCTAGCCATTTGGGAATCTGAGATGTGCCTCAGCAGGCAAGGCATGACGTACTGAGTACATCAATTCTGCATTGTTCGTTTGAAAAGAAAGGGACATGAGAACATGCTATCGGCAGTGCCGTGTGCGTCTGCGCTACTGCTGCAAATAGTCGAAAGTCGTTCCGCCCGTGCCATATATGGGAGCCTGATGAGCGTTTGATGGAGTATCAGATTCTGGCGACATCCCCATGGGGCAAACCGATGCATTCCTCAGGAGCAAAGTCTCAGATCGCGCAACGTGAGAGCCATGAAACATGTACAGTAGTGGGAAAACTCGGGAGTTCCCTCGACCCAAAAACACACACCACAAAGGCCAACCACTCACTGTTTCGACATGTGTTGCTTTTATTGAGTGAGAGTTTGGAGCGCCAAGCTGCATGGCAGCATGCGTAGCCACCGAGACGATAGCATGAAATAGAAAATCATAGAATATCATAAACAAACAGCCTGAGGGGCTCAGGGCTTGGGGACGCACCCACCCCCCCCCCCACCAACCTTAAAAGGGATTGCGGTCTCTGCCTCTGCAAGCCAAGAGGCCAGGCCTTTGAAATCCAACCCAAGGCTCCCCTCGCCTCAAGATTTCAAGAGCCTGGCCTCGAAAACGAGAGGGCCTGTGAGTTCCAAAGCCCACTGGGCTTATAAGATTTCAAGAGCTGAGCCTTTAATCCAAAAGGCCAGGCCCTGGCAAAACAGGCCTTGGAAATGCAAAGCTCAAAGCTGACTTTAAAACTTCAAGCGGCTGGCCGAATCCCCTAGTGGCCGCTTCGAGATCAAAAGCCAGGGGGGGGGGGCCTGGGCCAGGACTGACAAGAGAGTCCCATTATTCAGGGCCCACGGTTCTGGTCGACTCTGGCCTTGGATTCTCAAGGCCCGGGCTCTTGAATTTCGAAGACCCGTGGCCTCATGGCCATTTGATTTCAAGTCTTTGGTTTTGGCCAAGGAGGGCCAAGGCCACAGACCCTGGGCGTAGAAGAGGCCCCGAAACAGCGCCTAGGTCCTCCCCTTTGCCGGATTGATCGGGGCAGTTGTTCATGTGGTTTGAAAAAGGGGTCTTGCTTTCGCCTAGCCGAGATTCCAGTTTTGGCCTTTAGGGCTTATTCCGAGTTAAGACTTAGGGCTGTTGAGGTGCCAAGTTATAGCAGTAGCACGCTTGTGCAGAGCATTTTGTCTTGCAGCCGATTGGAGCGGGCGAGGGTACGATTGCCTGGGGGTGGGAGTCGTGTTCTAGTGCCCTGGGCAGCGTGGCAAGGGTCTCCATTCTCTACTCAACGCAAGCCAAGCGCGTAAACGCATGGCATGTGGACAGTCGTGACGTGCTAAGTCTTCTGAGGATCAGCTGGTTGCCGGCAGCCGATGGACGAATGATGAACTGCTCGACGAAGCTCCAATGCCTCCATCTGAAGTCCAACACTCTCGAGATACCTCAGCTCGCAACATGGCCCGGATTCATTCAATTCATTCAACTCGTCGAACGCACAACAAAGTGCTAAGGGCTGTCAAGATGCATGCGTTAAAAGCACCAGCCAGCGCATACCACATGCTCTCTTCCAGAGTGGCCTTGCTGTCTTCGATGAAGCTACGAACGCTGCTTGGAGCGTTGCGCAAGTCATCCAAGAAGTCTCTGTGTGCCTTGGTGCCGTGCTCTAACACTTGCCCTTCGTGGACATCGAACGGATGCATGCATGAGGACACGCATGAGTCGATCAAACTGTGCCTTGGGGATATAGCACTCGAATGCCTTTACTGCTTCGCGAAGTTCGGCCGAAGTGTTCCTGGAACCATGCAAGGGGCAAACTCTTCCCCGACTTGCTGTCGAACCCACCTTTTTGCTTTTCTTTCGGCTCCGGATGGCGGGTTCGTTGACAGCAGAGGCTCCGAATCCCGAGCAGTGCATCCACGGCGGGCAGGATTGTGCTCATAGCACCAGAAGGGCCAGCCAAAGAATGCTGCTCACCGCACAGGTTCATCTTGACCTTGGGTTAACCAAGCTGAACGATGAGCTTGACAAAAATCGCATTGACAACTACCTCCTTCAAGACTACAGTGAACTAGACTACATTACGAAGAGATAAAGAAGTATAGGCATCAACCAGACGAGCGGCAGATGCGATGTAGGGCCGCAGCCGGAAGAAGAACATGAAGGGCTCACACAGCAGCTTATGGTCATGTGGCGAGCGCGCAAACATAATTGGAAGGCAAACAGAAGCCAACCTGCAACGCGGCAGAAACAAAGCCCATCCCGCTCAGAACCAAAACAGGTTGCATGGATAGACGCTCTATAAAACACTGGAACTTGCTGCAGGGTCTGAGTTGTTTAAAGAGGATTTTGTTTCGTTACTAACATGTTGCTGTTGGATTGGCAGAACAGCTACGGCCTTGCATCGTTCCAAGGCTTGGATGTACTTTCGTGACTCGTCCGATTTGCGCATCCGTTCTGCGGGCACTTGCACTAGGAGAGATCCTCTATTTCCTCTACGTTTTCTGTGTGTTTTCTATGTTTTGCTTGAGAGCCTCTGTTGTAATCGGAAGATATTCATTGTCTGTATGTTTTGATTGACAGCCTCCTCTCTTTACTTAGCCTTGAACGGAAACTCTTTTCCTCCAGATTCGAAAACATCTGAGCAATCATTCGGGACTCTTGTGATCGAAAAAAACTCACTAATCTCTAAACTCTGCATTTCTTGAAGGTGTTTGTTGTGCTGTGTTTCTGACTAGTGCTCGGTTTTGTTGTCAGTATTTTCTCAAACAACCACCAGCTCATCCAAGCTTGCAGAGGTAAACCTCAACTGCCTTTGTTAGAATCTAATCCAACTCTTGTCTCTTGAGTCGATAGTTTCTAAACATGGGCGGGGATTCAATAAAGAGTGTTGCGTTTAACCATTTTCGATGTGGGTTTCTTAGATTTAAACTAAACTCTTGTCCTCGCCCGGTCTACTCCTCGCCCATCACCCGTACCCAGAAAGTCCCGGGAGCGCCCAACCCCGGAGTATCCCGGGTCGCGCTGCTCCTGTGCAACTAACTAGCGGCAACCGTCTTCAAGGTACTCCCTGTTGAGGAAAGGCGCATAAGGCGCATAATAGGCACGATGCTTTTTGCCACAGAGTCAAGATGCGGTCAAGCCGAAGACCTTCAAAGCGCATGAGCAAAACGCAAGCCGCTGCGCAGGTTCGATTGACGCCCCCGTAGCAATGCAGCAAAACTTTCATTTCCGCGCCCTCGGGACTCTCCTTCTACCAAGCCTTCCAAGCAGAGCTGGAATTCTATCAAAAGGAAACGCCAGACAGCTTTCAAGTTCTCCACAAAAGACAATGTTTCCAGATCACAAGAAACGTGAGGTTTGTCGAAGCGCAATGCTTCCAAACACCGTGGCATTTACGATGGAGCTCCCCTGAGCCAGGCTCGCCTCTCTTAACACCATCATGCGCAATCGCGGCGATCACCAGACACGCGCCGTTTGGCTCAAGTGCAGCCGCAGTACTGCCCACCCCAATGACGACTTCCCGGCAGCCCTGTAACTGCACCTCATCGCTTGGCCACTAGGCGACACTCCGGGGACGATGCCTGTTCCACCACTCCATGAGCCGGTCTAGATCTGTATAGGCAGCAACATCTGCAAACGCAAACTCAATCATTGCCATGCAACCGGCGGCTCGTGGCTCCTGCTTCTTCCAGCAGGACTCCAATAGCTCAGGAGCCATGGACGGACGATGCATCTCTACTGGTTCTGGTCGTTGACCACATTTAGCTGCGAATCTCACAGATGTACGTAGGCTGCGTCGTCGGGAACCGCAACAAACCAAGATGCATACATGAGAACGAAACAACGACTGAGCACAATTCACGCCCCTTTGTCGAGCGCGGAAGCCCAAAGGCGGGCTCGGTTCAAGCCGGAACCAACATGATGACGCGCATCACATCTGATCGCAAAAGTGGCAGTTTCGTTCAGTAGAAGGTCGAGATCCAACAAACTCGCCGACGCCCCGTGACCAAAAAGAAAAGCCATTAGACTCCCACGATATTTGCGAGGTTTTGGAGCGTGCGGAATAAGACTCCCACGATATTTGCGAGGTTTTGGGGCGTGCGGAATTAACTCCCACGATATTGCGAGATTTTGGAGCGTGCGGAATTGCACTCCCACGAAATTTGCGAGATTTTGGAGCGCGCGGAATTAGACTCCCACAATATTTGCGAGGTTTTGGAGCGTGCGGAATTGCCAGGTCCAGGCGACTTTGCGCGCGCCCTCAACACCCGGGTCCTAATCATAAAGTACTACGTTTGTGCTACAAGATGCTACAAGAAGACGATATTTGCGAGGTCTCTGGGGTTGCGAAGTTTTGGGGCGACTTTGCGCGCGCACACAACACGCGGGTCCATAGAGTTCTACGTTTGTACTACAGAAAGACGATATTTGCGAGGCTTCGGGGGTTACGAGGTTTTGGGGCGACTTTGCGCACGCCCACAACACCGGGGTCCTATAGAGTAGTACGTTTGTACTACAGGAAGACGATACTTGCGAGGTTTCGCGGGTTGGGAAGCTCCAAGGAAGGGATGGAATTAGACTCCCACGATGTTTGCGAGGTTTTGGAGCGTGAGGAATGACTCCCACGATATTTGCGAGGTTCTGGAGCATGCGGAATTGACTCCCACGATATTTGCCAGGCTTTGGAGCGTGCGGAATTGCCAGGTTTTGGGGCAACTTTGCGCGCGCCCACAACACCCGGGTCCGATATTTGCGAGGTTTCGGGGGTTACGAGGTTTTGGGGTGACTTTGCGCGCACCTACAACACCAGGGTCCTATAGAGTGCTACGTTTGCACTACAAGAAGACGACATTTGCGAGGTTTCGAGGGTTGGGAATCTCCCAGGAAGGGATGGAATTATTAAACTCCGACGGTCTTTGCGAGGTTTTGGAGCGTTCGGAATTAGACTCCCACGATATTTGAGAGGTTTGGGCGACTTTGAGGCGACTTCGCACGCGCGCGGGTGGACGGACGGGCGGCTGGCGGGCGGCAAGCAATAGAAAACAAGAACCTCGCAGTGTGGGGAAAAACAGCAAAACGCAAACAGCATGAACAACAGAACAGCAAAGGCATAGCTCCAAAGCAAAAGGCCAAATACAAACATGAATCAAAACACAAAGGGCATAGAACCAAGCAACAAGCAAATAAAAACAACACCACAACGAGAGGCAAAAACAAGCAAACATAAAAGCACGAGGCAAAAGGCATAGAATAGAGCAGCAAGTAAAAAAGCACAAGCAGTAAGACGAACTAAGCAAAAGGCAAAACAAAAACAAAGGCGCAACAACCGATAAAAAGCAAGAAACATAAATGCAAAAGGCAAAATACATAGAACAAAGCAACAAGCAACAACGTACAAACAAGAACAAGCAACCAAGAAGACACACAAGAAAGAAACAGAAAGCATGAACGCAGACCACAGTGGGAACAGGCGATAGGAACAAAAAATAGCGCAAACCCCAAAAACACAAATCTAAAACAACAATCCGAAATTCATTGGGGTTCTCTCTTACTAAGTCTGTTGGCTTGAACTACGGTGGGGCACATGACCTTCTCAATGTGGTCAGTAAGTTCAACGAGATCTTTTATATTTTGGGCCTGCCTCCAGAGTGCCTCCTCCAGCGAGTGCAGTTCTTGCAACAAGTTCCGCAAATTGTTTTTGCCTTGGCAAGGATCTTATGGAAGAGGGGGTACTGGGGTAGGAATATTCAGAGTCCTGTCCGTGCTAACTGCCTACTGCTACAAGCCTGAACCTCAATCGTGTTGACGCCTGACACATCCTGTGAGCCTGAAGAAAGGTTGAGGAGGCGACCGAGTATTGAGGCAACGAAAGCGTATTGATTCGACTAGGAATAGAAAATGCGTTGCGAGCGAGGCTGCCGATTCAATGTGCTGAGCCTCACATGTTCAAAGCTTTGACGGCAGAGGCTTTAGAGCATATAGCAACTAGAGTCACTGTAGAGTCGAGAGCAAGGCAAAATGCAGCAACCTTCGCGGCCGAAGGGGCGCATAGCTGTGGAAATCGAATCCAAAGCGCCAACCACGTGGCCGCCTTCAGACTCGATGATGATGTGAGTCTTGAAGAACCATTCCTCTCACTTCAACGCATCGACTTGCGGACATCTGCAGACAAGTTGGCGCATGCGCATCTGTGTGCATCTGTTTGCGGCACCCCCCCTAGCCGCCCTGGCCTCATCGATGAGACCGGTAAAGCGACGTAGCAAGCGCACATTGGACGGCTTGATGGGCCCATCTGGGTCCAGTCGTTCCCAGTTGTTCAACACCTGCCCACGACACAATACCGATGTTGTTCGTGGCTTGAAAATGAATTTGCGGCTACGACTGCATGTGTCAAATAGCTGCAGATGATGCCAATTGATGGCTGAAATGAGAGGCGCGAGCTGCCAGACTGCAAAAGGATCTGAGTGAAGTTGACAAGTTGGAAATTGAGAAACATTCGGGATGGCACTTGGTCATTTGGGCACAAGGGAAGTCACGGTTGGCAGAAAACCCTGTCAGGAACGTGGCCGTGCTGTCAGGCTGTCAGGTGCAGCATGCCCAGAGAACGACACATGTCTAAGTTGAACAGTCATGCCTGTGTCACAGGACACAGCCCCCGGAATTTGTGACTTGCCATGGCCACGCCGGGGCCAAGGTCGGCTGTCTTTAGTTTTCTCTGCCGCCTTGACCGAAGAGTGGTGAGCTGGCAGATGCTTGTTTGCGCTGAGAACTTTGAAGACCATGCAACGAAATCTTCGGAAACAAACACGCTTTACTTCATCAATGCTCCATGCATGCTCATCCATGCAGCTCAAGTGAGGCAGTCCTCCAACGTTTGTGAGGCAACTTGCGAGGCTGTCCAACGCGTTTAATTTTGTCACACTTTCGGTCCACGTTTGGCTGCCGGGTACTTCACGTGACTCGCGCAAGAGTGACTGCACCGCATCTTACAGTTGGCCTGATGATTGGTGACTCTCGACACATCTTGAATGCTGTGTCCTTAAGATGCGATCAACAAGCCGCTGTAACTGTAACTGGGATCGCGGACGCAGCCGACATAGTCCAGCATAGGTTTCCGGTCCAGTCTCTGACTGACCTCGTCAGACTTGAGATGACTTG